ACAAAGACTTTTGCTTCTTGCCGCGCTGGATCAATTCAGTTTTATACTTGTTTTCGACATGTCTGCATTCGACAATGAAGTCAGCGATCTTCCAGTCCGCGACACCAGAAAGTTTCATCCCGTGGACAGGAAACGCCAAAAAAATGGCAAGCAGCACGGTTGGGTTGGCGCGAGGTTGACTAGGCAGTGCAAGACAAATTTCGAATGCGGAATGGGGGATGTTGTCGGAGACAGTACGAATTCGGGATACAGTCTGCGACCTTGGGCGGGAGAGACTGGATGATGTGGGACAGGAAGAAACCAGGGGGCTTTGTGAAGGTTGAGGACTAGCTCAAGACAAGGGTTTCACAGGTAGCGAGCACGAGTCTCTATAGAAATAGAAGGAAGACGGCGATTTAGCCTTTCCCGTGAAGCCGAGACATGACTTCCTTGGTGAGAGTGTCTCGAACTGTTGTATACAGTCAGTGTCTGCACTGAAGGCTACGCCCAAGGCGTCGACCTCGGGTACCGTTCTCCTGCGATGCTCTTCCGTTCACCAGTATCCAGCGCTGTCCCTGGTTGATGACGCCGCCCAGGCCGTGCAGTGCTCCATTGCTGGTGCTGGCTGTTGCTAGCAAGCCAACCAAGCTCGCTTTGGGTCAGGGGTTGGGAAACATTCAAATGCGCTGGGAGGCAGATCGCTAGCTGTGGGTCCAGAAAAATCTCATATCTCTTCTCAACACTATAGTACGCAGGCGAGGGGGCCGGTCTGACCCTGAAGGTCATCAACTGCTACCCGTCGATGCTCAGCGATAGGGATCGGGGTGCGTCGCCTTGCGGCTCATATGCCCGACTGCCCGCCTGCCCGCCGACCCGCTCAAAATATACCACCCACTGACAACAAACCCCGACCTGCCTATCCGGGTTTGCACTTGTCCATGTGCGTTTCTTCTTGCCTCTCTGCCCTGCCTGGGTCACAGAGAGCAACCGGCTTGGCTTCGTGAGCGACATAAAGGGGCGTGACGTATGAGCTAAGAAGGCCGCGGGAAGGACATTCCGATCAGGTAAAGTGATCGGACCATATACAGATCGGTAGCCGGCTGTTTGCCTACCGCTTCCCCTTTTCAAGGGCAATGTTTGTTATTCTTGAATAGTAACTTTTTCCAGCTTTCTACCAGTAGCTTGGGCCGAGAGTGGCACTAAAATCAGTAATTATTGATATATTCGGCCCAGGCGCACACAATCTGGCGTATCCCAGGCGCCAGCTCTGGTTGGATGGTCACCCCGGTGAGAGGAGATGCCGACTGCCAAATCGAGACAACTCGACGTCGAAAAGCCCGAAGCTCGAGAAGCTCCAACGATACCCAGAGATCCTGGAGCAAAGACATACTTACCAGGCATAACCGTCGCTTCTGGGATTTCAGCTGCATGCGGGGATAAGTTTGCGTTATGGAAAAGACGGACGTCCCCGCCTTACGATGCTGCACCTGGTCACTGGCTCCTGTTGTGATACATACGGGCTGAAAGAATTCAACGATGAGCGTGTACCGCAGGCCTCGCCTCACCATTCTCATATAAAGCCCACAAGAATATGAAGTCCTTTTTCTCTTTTGGTAACATATGTCTTCTCCAATGTAGATTGATGTGGTTAAGGGGTTCCAGACCATCCAGTTATAAAGGTCGATAGTCTCTTCTTGAGACCCCTGGCTGTTTCTTTCTCGAGGACTCGGTGTTCCTCCTGGGACAGAAGAAGAAGAGGGTACGTCTGGAGGATCGGTTGGAAATGGATCACGATTCAGGGCTCGGCTCGACAAAAAAAAGGGGAGATCGACCTCGTCCTGCCCAACAACCCCGAACCCAGCCGCAGACCCAATGTCAGCAGACGAAACATGCGTCTCCAAAGACGACTGGCTCAACAGGTACATCGTTCAAGGCGAGTCCCACAAAGCAATGAATGCAGCGAAGGTTTCTCTGGGTGGTCTTCAGGCTCGTGGTGTGTGGTGTTGGGCTTGTGTCAGATGTTCTTGCTTTGAAGCTGCTGCTGTCAAAGATCGTGTGGAAAACGGCCGGTGGGCAAAGGAAGTGGAGGAATTCAAGCACAAAGCCGATGCTGTGAGTCTTGCTTCTGAAAGGGGTTTGAGCCTATGGTGGCTGTCAGTGAGACTATCACGCAGATGTCAAAGGGCATATTTGACTTATTTGATAAAGTGAGTGCGGACACGAATAAGTTTCGTGAGAAGTATTCTGACTTACTCGACAGTCAGTCAGAGGGACTAGTTTTGAGAAGAGACTGAGTCAAGTTCTGGGCGTGGATCAAGATTTAATCGTTCTTGCTGGTGGAAAGAGATGTGGTCCTTGATATCATGGGAGTTTCCGAGCGTTAGTGGTCGGAGATCCTGGTGGGTATCGGGCTGCTGAGGTATAGAGGAGGTTCGTCTTCTTTCTAGGCATGTTCTTCCTCGTCTGTTGGAGTCTCTCGTTCGGTTTGATGTAATTGAAAGATCGTCACTTCACCCACACAGCCTGGACATGTATACTCCGCCGTAGAAACCGCACTTGATGATCTACCCTACTTGATAACTAAGCAAGGCTGCATATCACATGTCAGGCTGAGATTTTTTTCCATCTTCCAATTTCAGAAACGTTGTTTGTCGGATCACAAAAACTCACACCAGTTTCCTAATCCGGTAACCTTTCTTCCTAAAAAGGGAAAACCTCTCGAACTCATGCCTTGCGCTTCCTGCCATACGAACAACATCAGCTGGTTTGCTGGAAATGTCCGTCGCTGCCTTCGACCTCCCTCGTCGTTGTCACAGGCAGACTCTCTGTCGGAAGTGACTCCAGCGCTGCATGACAAAGGGTAAATACGGCTTACCGTTGACTATCTTCTAGTTCGTCTCCGAGGTCGTACGGGTTGCTCAACCAGAGGAAGCCGAAGTCATTCCTCTCCCCATGGAGCTGATTTAGTCACTGCAAGTACCCCCCGCGCAACGTGAGCATGTGCAACACACAATAGTTCTCCGCCGTAGACAATCTTTTGCCATTCAAGGCCTCCCTCATCCGGGCTGCCAATGGAGCGAAACCGAAACCGAAGCCCTTGCTGTTCATCTCTATCCTAGCCTGGTGAACTCCTGCACTCACCCCCCTGCTGACTGAGAGGCCCCCTTGTTCAACAATCGGGCGAGCACTTGGCTTTAGCTTTGTTTCGGGGGGTTCTCTAAAAGTCAACTAGAAAACGTCGACGGACCATTCCCACGTTCTCGTTCTGCATGATCCGTGCCTGAATTGTTGCAACGGGCGTTCTCACTGGTGCAACTGCGAAGCCAGTGTGAAAAGATGTTCACTTGGGTCGGTGAAACTGATTCATCTATTTCGGTTTGATACCTGGGAAAAAGCGCAAACACGCCATACATGGATGGGCGATGGCTACCATGGGGAGACTTACAAGAAAGCGAAAGTAGCCAGCCAAGTCGACTCACAACGACAGTCCTGCCATGATGCCAGTATTCTGCCCGGCTCCCGCGATTTGAGACCCAAGGGTAACACTCGAAAGCCTTCTTGGGGTGAAGGTCGATCATGTTTGGAAACGTAACTGGCGAGAGGGGGTCGATTGGCACGGTGACTGACGAATGCAACATCCCGACCTTCTTGACAAACGATCCATTGCAAAGTCTTCATCGACCAGTATGATATTTCCTGCGTTAATGTTAAACGCAGCGGATTCTTTTGAGCAATGCGCATTCAGGTTCTTAACCGCCTTCGCTTGCCCAAAGACGCCCGAGTCGAATATGACTTCGTGGGACCCCAACCTGTTCCCAGCGAGTTCCATGCACCTTTCGTGTGACAATGCCTGGATGCCGAAGCGGCAAACATATCAGAGACGAAAACGGAAAATTCACTCAAATCGAGACAAATCGAGACAAAACCGGAACAGTTGCGTTGCTCGTTTTCTGGACTGCTTCATCTCCCGAAACGTGATTGTTCATGTTTTGTTTCTCAGATTGGTTTTCTCATTGGTACCTCCGACTTCGGGCTGATCAGCACCTTACCCCTGCACAGTGAGCGTGAGGTTGGTCGTCTCGGTTGCTGGGATATGTAAGATGTGCTTAGCGAGGCGCCTCCAAAGACTCCCACTTACTGGGCGTGTCGGGAGGTCCCGGGTTCGAGTCTTTCCTGATGAGAATTGAGATCTCCGGTGTCATGTTGTCCTTCGACTTCTTGTTTAGCTTGGACATATTGACGGATTTGCCCGCCACAATATATTCTCATCCGCGAGTTGAAATACGAAACGTTGAAGAAGGCTAGGTTCTCTCGGTCTTCCGTGGAGATGAGTGTGTAGATGAGTGTGTAGATGAGCGTGTAGATGAGTAGATCCGACAATCTGTTACCTGCCATGTGCCCGACGGTCAACCGGTCGGTGAACCCAAACACGCCCAAGCTATTCGCACCGTCGTCATGACCAATCCGTCCGGCAGTGCGCGGCTACGTATAGCCTAGTCTCATGCCCCAGCGGTGTGAGGTCGGTCGATCAACCTTTTACGCTCTGACAGAACATCGTGTGGCCGTTGGTGCAAAATCATGGCCGCGTACAGACGCGAATTTGTGTGACTGGAGCTGATGTGATGTGTTATCCATATTGGTATCCGTGTCGCTGCTCTTAGTATCGACATCGCCATGGCAACGTGTACATGTTAATGCTGTTCTCCTTGCTCGTGGCGAGCTTCCTGACGACGGACTACCACCCGTCCAGGCATATACACCTGTCATATAACGCGTGTGGCTTCCCATTTTGCCTCTCGTGCACGGCGAGCATGCCCAGCGTAGTGTGGTAGAGCCCGTCGACCATCCTGGACCCGCACGCATAGCACATCCAGCCCATGCACATACTGGCAGCCTCGGTTGTGGAGTCGTTTGTGTTTTTTAATCAGGCCGTGTTACTGCTCGGGTCGTAGTCATGGTTCTCGCCGTAGTGTCTGTCCGTGAGCAGACGGATGTACCCCCAGCCGTTGGTGATGGCGTACTTAGTGCGGCTCATGGTGCCGGTGACGTTCCTGTACCTGCAGATGATCATCGAGCGGATTTGTGTGTACGGGTAGCTTCAGGAGCGTGGAGGCGACCGCGTTGCTGGGCAGAAGCACGCCGCCGTCCCCGCACTTGAGCTGGAAGAAGTCCGCGCACCTGTACAGGAAGTACCGTCGGCCCGCTGCTGACCATCGGCTTGAGGTCGTCAGCGAATACCGTCTCGCCGCTGTCGGGGTCGATGTTCCTCCACAGGTCCATCCCCATGCCGTCAAAGGAGTCCGTAGTACAGTACGTCTTGCTATTTACGCGCAGCAGCTTGTTTTTGGACACAATCACGAGGCTGTCCATGTGTGTAAACGCGGCTTCGCTCGACATGTGGCTCACCATAGCGTTGGGGAACATGAGTTTGATGGGATTGGTAATAGAACGAGAGGCAGGGAATGCCTGTCCTCAAGGTGACCGAACCAGGAACAACGTGTTAGTCACGTAAACTGCTTTGACGTGTTCACGGGGAATCACAGCCTTGCCAGGCGTATATGTCCAGCCTCGCCCCTCCCGTTCCATTCACTCTGTTCGCTACACCTTCACTCCCCTCCCCGTTTATCACACGCGTCCCCACTCTTCTTTTTACAGTGATATCAGTTACAACGGCGAAAACCCCTCCAACAATTGCCGGATCAGGTCTGCATCAATCTATAACACCAAAGTTCAGGGTTCGAATCTCGTACCACCCTTGGTTTATAAATTTCCACTCACGGTGGTGATGTATGAGTTGCTTCTTGGCCTCACTCACTCACTAGGAATTGATGACTGCAGTCCGCATTGTTACAACAACAACAACGACAACGACGAATCAAGGCTCAAAGCGAGAGAAGGGGGAGGGTAAATTATGGGGTTGAGCGCTCACGGAGGAAGAAAGAGGAGGAGGACGAGCAGGAGGGATCCACTACGGGAGGCGAGAAGGACTTCTAGTCCAGGAAACAAACAAAAAAAAAAAAACTGTGTCCATTGTACTACGGGCTACAGTTTTCTCCCAAGCGGAGTTTTTTTGCCCCCAGAGGGGAGGGGGTGGGATGGAGGTGGGCGGAGAAGTGACAGGGATTGTTATTAATTTCGTTTGCTTTTTTTTACCGAGAGGGAAGATAGAGTTCAAGTCCAGGAAATAATAAAAAACAAAAAAGAAAGACAGTTCCAGAATTAGTTGTATGCCCTTTACATCCCGGAGGGATAATGACTCCACTTGGCGTGAGTCCGTCAAATGTACAATCAAACTACTATATTCCTGCGTAACCTGACGCCCTTGTATGAGTATCAGGGTCCATGACCGACCCCACGCCAGCCGCCCCGAGCATGGTGCTGACCGAGCTGCTGACCCCCTCCCCGACCACCTACATGTGCGCGGGTAGCTTATTGTTCTCTGGCGTCTTGAAAATCCTTCCCAAGTACTCAGCGATGTTCATCTCCTTGACGCCGTACGTGTCCGCGCAGTTGGTGATGGACACACCCACGAGCATGATCGTGTCGGTGAAGGCGTATGAAGGAGCCGATAGAGTAGCGATACAATGACCCCGAACACCACCGCGGCATAAACGCGTTCATCGACATCCGCAAGGTTGTAGTCATCCGCAGCAGCGTCATCATGAGTAGCGAGAACGACAGGCACCAAGGGCAAGAGCCCGAGTTGAACGTACTGGCTCTTCCCATTGTCCTCGATCTCCAGCCTTCCGAAGCACGATCAAAGTTCCATGCCACAGCGTACCCAAAAGAAGTAGTTATCCACCACCCGCTCGATCGGAAATGCCACCTGTCGAAAATAGCAAACGGCAGGCACGGAGCGGTGTTTGAGAAGAGACTCCTCAAGCTCATTCACACCATGATTTCCAAGAAGGAGTTACCCTGCTCCTTGGCCAGCTGCTAACCGTGGTCACAAAAGGCAGAACGCGAAATGGGCCGAAAAGAAGGTCTGTGCGACCATGAATCAGAGCCCTGACTGGGGCACTGCAAGCGGCACGCGAGGAAAAGCCAAGCCTGAACGACATGATGAGATGGATCAAAAAATGTGGTGATTTCTGTAATGTATGCCCAAGGCACTGGAAACAGTGTGACACATCGATGCGTGGACCTTGGAATGTATGTCGGCACGGCACAAAATGCCTACCCGGTTGCTTTTCACTGATGGCTGACCGAGGAGAGTGGTCTTTGTCGAACACTTGTCCAGAGATATTGGGTGGGAATTTTCGATTGACATGTACTGTGCATGACTCATATCGATTGCTGCGTCGAGTTGACTTGAATTGCGTTGTGGAATAAGGGTGGACTTGATATCAACCGGTATACGATTAACGTACTTCTTTGAGAAACAGACAGACGGGGTCCGAAGCGGTGGCTGGCTGGTCCGAATGTCGTCTGATGAGCCGCTGCACTGGAGACTTTGTCGCTAAAAGTTTAGAAGACGACGAGGCGGAGGTCAAGAGTACATGCGCTGGTCCGTCTGCATCTCAAAGCCCTGGCCGAAAACTCCCTGGCTCGGGAATGGCAAGTGTTGGCAGGGTACAGACACCCAGCTCCACGATCCACCAGAACATTGATACGCAGGTGCTCCGCGATGTCAGGCACTGGTTCAGCATGGCCTCGACGAATCAGCCTCGATGATGTGAGACCGGAACTTTGGGATTACTTGTGGTCATCAATGACTGATTGTGGGTATTAGGTGTTTCTACTCGTCGCATTTCATCAAGGAACCAGCTCCACAGGCACTCCACCAATCTCGAGGAGTAGAGAGTTACACCGTGTATTTGAATAAATAAATCACTCAGGCACCAAGGACGCAATCTGCCTTTGGAGCCCCGACCTCTGCACATTTCGGTGTTCCTCCACAGCCAGCGGCGCTCTCATCTCTTCCAAGTGAACGGTGGGCCTGATAGGCCTCTCTTACCTCCCACAGATGAGCACCTCCTGCTACGTGGAGCTTCCCTTACCCATTGACTGAAAACGATCCATGTCCGCAAAGGAGAGACGGCCGATGAGTTTGTACTGGGACACAGCGGGACATCAAGACTGGATTTGGATGGATAGAGACCCGTGGAGAGAGAGCAGAAGGCAAGAAGCGGCGACGTCGCGGATGGTATAGAGGATTGTCGCGAGGAAGGGGAGCAAAGAAGGGGAGCGAAGAAGGGTCTGTCGATTGGTTAGTTCTTGGTTTTGAAGAAAATGTTACTTTACGGACGCCTCCGCATCAACGGTGGGCGGGTTTTTTTCGCTGTGGGGTGTTTGCCGCAGGGAGTGAGCGATTCCGTCGCGTCACGCGTGGACGCGCGCCGCGTCATCATGTGATCGTGACAGTGGTGTAGTGGTAGCCTTGGTTCATGTGACGTCAGACGTTATTATTGGTCAACAATTCTATCGGTGGGTTCTGGCACTGGCACTGGCACTTGGCGCCAAGTCTCACCTGCAAAAGTAACGTTGGCATGGCTTACGTCATACTACTACACTAGTAGCCTAATGGGGAAGGGTGTGTCTTTTAGCTTAAACACCCTCGAAAAGCCCCGGTTGGCTATTGGCTGGTCCGCATGTTCGGAATTCGCGTTGACCATTGACAAAAGTGTGATGGCATTGACAATAAGACAGCTGCATATGATTCGACACGCAAGAAACACCCGCATACCTCCCTCATTCGTGCTTGACGCAAGGGAAAAACCATCGTGGGAAAAGCCTTGCCTGTAAGGAATTCGCGTTATGAAGCGAACAGGTGACCTTCTACCGGGACTCCTTCGCCGACACGGAGCCTCTCCTTGCACTCCCTTCGGCGCATTGATGTTGGTCACCTGCGGCCTGCTCCAGTGCTGCTACTCGTGCCTCTTAAAATGAGCACTGTTTATGACGAGTGAAACAGCTGGTACACTTTGCCCTGCGTGTGCCAAACGTTGTCAATATCGGGCTCTACTTTCACCATGATGCAATTGTCGAAAGGAAGAAAGGCAGCTTCAACGGCAGGTGCAGGAACCTCCAGCGTTCATCGCACGGGTATTTCTCCTCTTGGCCATGCATTTGAAAGAGCCAGCGGCTCTGCTGCGGTTTTGATTCATATCGAAGTGGCCCCACTGTTCAAGTTGACGACGTGGACTTTGACTCGAGTATTGCGTTGTGATGTCGTCGAAGTTTCCAGCGACAAGCTCATCATGTCTCTGTCGGAGATGTACCTACTTCCTTTTTCTGAATGGACCTTCTTCGTTTGCCCTTAGGCGGTGCAGTCTGGCTTGGACCCTCTCGGGAAATTAGTCGTGTGCTTTACTGAGAGAGCTCTCGTCTTCGACTGTTCGATCCGTCTTGTGAGACACTCTGCCAAGCGACGGTCTGTCTTCGGAACATCCGTCATCTTCTTTGTAGAATTCCTCCATCAGTGCGATGCTGCGCACACAGCCCAGTCCCATGGCGCCAAGGACTGCGGAATCTTTTTCGGTCACAAGTATGCCTCTTTGCCCAACCTGCCTGACTGGCAAGATCAAAGCCTTTAAACCCTTAGAGGCGTGGAGCGTTTGTCGCTTTCTGTCGACCACATGACCGAATAGAGGCCGTTTGAGCAAGCTTCGGTCGAACAGGGCCTCTTCGAACGTACCACCAGCAAGGGAGCGGTACACATACACTGATTTCTTCTAACCCAGACGGCATGCTCTGCCGATGGCCTGTTCCTCTCACGAAGGGTCAAGGCCGAAGTCGAAGCTGATGACGCGAGACGCATCCTGGAGATTTAGGCCGAGGCTGCCAGCTTTCATGGAAAGGAGGAAGACTTGGCAAGAATCCTTCTCGTTGAATGTTGTAGCTAATGACTGTCGGGTGGAAACATCCATTTCTCCTATCAACCGACAGAATGGAGTCTTCTCGGCGTGCAGTACGTGCTCCAGATAAACTAACATCGGGAGACTGTGGCTGAAAACCAGCACCTTTTCGCCTGCTTCGATTACTCGCTTGACGATGCTGCGTGCTAGGATCGCGCGTGATTGGAGTGAACGGGATCCGCTACGTCGTCAATATCTACTAAAGATGTTCCGCACTTCACGGGACCCTTGCAGCTGGCTGATTGTACCGATCTCTATATCACAAGGAATGTCTTCGAGGTCACAGAACCTCTCGACTTCCTCGTCGGTGAGAACCGGCTCCACGATGGGTGCCACAGAGGATGGGATCCCCTTGATCGGGCAGGAGAGTCAGTTCCTTCCTGCCCAGAGCATCACCCACAGGCGCTGGCCGAGGACGTGCACATATGCTCTACCATATTATTTTGATTCTCCAAGAGGACGCGAGGGATTTCTCAAGCATGCTCAGTCTCCTTTATCCTACAATCCAAATCCCGATGCTCCGGGAATCACCGCACAATGTTGCTACCGGCTCACCATGGGTTTATTTTTCTTGCCCTCGCGCCTGGGTAAATCATCAAAGTGACTTGAAAAAATGACGGGGCTACTCCCTCCATATGCCTGCTCTCATAAAGACGTGAGAAGAGACTGATATATTCGTGCTGTTTATCTCGCCACGCAGAGGACGTCAATCCCGATTGGTCGTGTCTCGTCCATAAGTTCGAACGAGATTGCTCCGATCAGGGGGCTTCCGATCGAGTATGGCCCTCTCTGTGATGTGATTAATTCAATCTTTGGCGTACCCTACTACCGCAGGACACTCCTGCCCTAGCTGCCGGGAGGGCCAAAGCAGTAAGTTCATGTCAACGATGTCCCGGTCCCGACGCGCGTGATCGTGAGCTCTTGGGCCAGACAAGACGCACCGCAGACCTGACGCGACGGTCACAGACGTCGAAAGGAGCTGTCGCTATGTCTGGTAGCCTCCTCTGCCGCATGCTGTACGAGTAGGCGATCTACGGCAGCTATGGCGATGTGAACATTACCCAGCACGTGTCGGGTCCTGGCTGTAGCATATCCTTGGCGACAAGGAGGATGGTAGGTACTTGAGATACTCACGCCAAGTGGAAGCATTAGCCCTAGGGTGAAGGGCACACAACAAAAACACAACTACCATACGGGAAAAACAGCAAAAAACTCCGTTTAGGAGAAAATGTAGCCCTTGGTACAATGGGCACATTTTTTTGATGTTTCCTGGACTTGAAGTCCTTCTCTCCTCTCGCTGTGGATCCCTCCTGCTCGTCCTCCTCCTCTTTCTTCCTCCGTGAGCGCTCAACCCCATGATATACCCTCCCCCTTCTCTCGCTATGAGCCTTTTTTGTAGTTGATGTTGTCGTTAACAATGCAGATTGCAGCTATCAATTCCTGATGGGTCAAGATCTGGAAGTATGTAAACCAAGGCGGTTGATGATTTTTCAAAACCCTTTACTCGGTGTTACAGATTGACGCAGGCCAGATCTGACAATGTTGCAGGGTATTTCACGTTTGTAATTAATAACATTGTAATAAAATAAAAGTGGGGTTGTTTGGTTTGTTTGTGATGGGAGGGAGGGAGGAAGTGAAGGTTTAGCGAGCAGAGTGAATGGAACAGAGGGCTTGCGAGGCTGGACATGTACAGTGTTCCTGGCAAGGCTGCGATCGGGACGACGTCCCTCTATGTATTGGTGTACTCGTGGAGACCCCTGCACGCCTGTCTGTGCTCGCGAATATGCAAAACTCGACCACGTACATGTTCCCGACCGTCTGCACCTTGGGGTTCACCATCATGTACTCGCACGCGCTTCTGTTGGTGCACCAGCTGTGGACCATTGACACGGCGATGCGTACGGGAGTAGCAAAACTTTGTCTCGATGGCCGGACGCTACCCTCCTCCGAAGAGTTGCCTTGATCGTTGACCTCTCTTGGTCCGTCTGCATAAAAAGAACGACAACCTCGCGCTTTCTACACATTACAGAGCGACAACTTCGCTTACTCAGAACTAATCCCTCTACTTCCCACACAGTCCTACGAGGCTTGATCTCTCTTCGAACCGCCCCTTCTACACCTTGGTATCCCTCTGTCTCCCGTCATCGAATGCGAATGGCAACCGGCCTAAGATGATCATGCATACCCTGTTTATGGATAAAAGGAAAACCAAGGCAGTGGCAGAATGAGGAATCTGACCAAGAATTCGACGAGGACCTCGTGGAAGCCGAAGCACAAGTGTCAAGGAGGAAGAGGAGGAGTACGACTATGATGACACGCTTGACGAGGACAAGGACGGCGAAGCACGAGGTGGAAGACGATAATGGTGAGGAACTCAGTTCCTGCCCGGGACACCAAAGCTGGTAGAGTTGGTGTGAGAGAACGCTGACGAGTTTCAAGGGTATGAACTGCTATATTGTTTGCGACCTGCTTGTAGATGCGCGAGGGACACACTCAAGAGATACCAACGCCTGTCTCCTCCCCAGATCTCAGAGCATCCCAGTCTGTCCGGATCGTCGAGAATTCATCTCGGCAGAATTCGTTCCAAGACGGCGACTTCCATTTGGCTTCCGCTGGCTAGGGCGATTGCCACGTGCTGGAGTTGCCTGAATTCATATCGACAGCGACAGCGGTCTATCTTGACTGGATGAGTGCACTCCGCTTGTTTCGAATACGGGGGATACCGACGCATTGCGTGACTCGTGGATGACCAGGGCAGGGTTACGATCCGCATCGTGCTGCCACGGTAAGGACGCATGAGCTGTGGAGAGCTCACATCTATGACACGCAAAAAAAGGTCGAAGCTGGGGATTTGGGTCTCTCTCTCTCCGTCGCAGTCCCACAGAATGCCTTCATGGGCTTGAATGTCATTGCAGACCGGTGCCTCTGTCGGAGGACCCAAAGGATAGAGCTCACCACAAGCTCGCTCTGGAAAAGAGCTTTAATCCCCGGAATGTTGGTAACACGGACATTGCGATATATGCACGATATATTCCGATCGAGCTGAAACGTGGCTGATCCCTTGAATCCTACGATATTGACATTGCCGGGGATACGGTAATATGTCGTTGTCCAAAGAGGCAGGAGGTTGAGGAGGACCAGTAGCTAGCTGGCTTGGCTGGTTGAATACCTGATGAGCGTCGACAACACTCTCAGCAGTGAATTTGACGCTTCAGGCTCCCTTTTCACGGGCTCAGGACAATAGCAACACAGATGAGGCGTGCATAGGCTGCCCTCCTCCACGTCTTCTGCAAACAAATTGTCAAGCTTCCTCTCTGTTAAGATCTCCTTGAAAAATAGAGATCCGTCATCAGGCTTACCATCTTGTCTGTTGCCCTTTTCTTATTTATTGTTTGGACGTGATGCTGCCCGATCCTCGGCTACGAAAACTCCCGGCGGCAGATGCGCATCAGTGCACAGGTCGTACTAGCGAGAGGTAGGCGCGTCGAAGACGGTGGGTCTCGGCTGAGGCGGGTTACTGAATGGCCGGTTATCACACACAGAAATCGCAGTTGTCGCCATCGCTCGCATTCAATAAACATCCCCCCTGCTTGATGCATTCGGCACTGCGGGATCTGTCAGTGCAATTACATCGGCCTGATAATGGATATGACTTTTGTTGGTGGTTGCGTGGGCTGCGCCGTGTCGGACTCGGTTTATCCTCAGGTTGGCAAAGCCGTTGCAGGACTTGGCATGGACGCCTGGGACATTTTGAAGACGCCCGAGTGGCAGGTCTGTGGCGAAGACTCTGGTGTGTAGGCTGGGTCTGCCCCTGCTGTATCGCGACGATGCCATTACTCGGTATTATGCCATGCGTTTGAATCAATGAAATGGTGGTGCGGATGACTATCTAAACGGTTACAGAGGCTCTCAGAGAGAGGTCATGGCGCAGGCAGTGACTGATTCCGTCGCGTCACGCGTAAACACGCGTCGCGTCCCCATGTGACCGTGACACTCGGAAGGCGGAAGAGTTGTAGCAGGAATCGAAACGACGGTGATAAAGCCCAGAAAGGTTCGAGAGTTATTACAAGGCCGAGTTGCAGTGAAGGCGCCGGTACTTTGATGCAGGTCGTGTCGTTGCTTATTTCGATGTGGGTGGTGGTGGTGTTGGAGAGGTAGGTAGTGTGACGTCAGACGTTGTATATGATTGGATGATAGCTCTGTGGGTGGGTCTGCAGGACTAGCGTTGTCAGCACTTCCAGCACTCGCTGCCAAGAGGGCCAAGACACTGAGTCACTTAGTCAGTCGCCCATTCACTCTCTCACTCACTTTACTCGCTTACTCACTTTACTCGCTTACTCACTTACTCACTTACTCACTTACTCACTTACTCACTTACTCACGGTGAGTGCACCCCGAAGGAAATAAGGTTAGCATAGTTTATGTCACCACACCACCACACCACTGGTGAGTGACTGGTGAGGTGACGGTTTAGAATGTCACGGGTCTGCCTGCGATGCGAGCCTTTCTGAGAAATCCTGCACCTTTACTTGTTTTCCTTGGTGCGTGATACACGTGTGGCTGCCTTGTTTGGCGCAGCCTTTGTGCGTGACGCGTCCGAGCTCTTGAAAAGGCTCAAACGCTCCTTACATAGTGACCTTCCTTCGTAGATCTCATTCTATCAGTTCCGATTCGTTTTAGATGGTCCTTCGTATCCATCTTGCCCTCGTGTCCTTTTGTTTATCATCGGCGGCTTCGGCGCCGTTTTCATCGCACCATGGCAACAGCCGATCCTCGCGACGTGGACGAGTTCGACGCGGACAAAGTTCTCCGATTCTTTGAGGACATGAAGAATGGCAGGGGACGACCAAAGTGGACAAACCCTGATAAAGAAGCCTGGATTACTCCGATGGAGAGGCGCTGGAGCGAGAAAAAACCTCAATTGGCCAACTGGAGGGAAAGCATCTCCTCTCTCGAGGAGCACGACGAGATGCCGAATCCTGAGAATTTATGGGATCCTACGTCAAACCCCGACGTTGATTACGAAGACGGTCCGGATAAATGCGTTGACGAGGATGGGTTCTGGGGCGTCCACCCTTGCTCCAAACCTCAAGGCAACGACACCATGCAAATAGATGACGACGAGGATTATGACGACGATGACAATGGCGAGTCATCCGATCAAGAAGACGACGGGACGAGCTCACAGTCGAGTGAAGAGTCGATGCAGTCGCTTGCAAGCAGCGATTACACCGTCGAAAACTTCCCCCATCTTGCCGGAGTGGGCTTGGAGCTCGTGCGCCGAATCGAGGGGACTGCTTGTATATCTGCCGACTGTCTGCCGCCGACAATTCCTGGATATCTGGAGCTGCCTATGCCCTCGCTAGAGGAGAATGACACAGACCGAGAGCTTGAACAATATTATCTGGGTATACTGCGCGAGGCTGCCTGGCGCCCTGCATATATGCCGGGGAGCTTCCGGGCCACGTGTGGGCGACAGCGCAAGGGCTACGGAATATACCCGAGCTGTGTCCTTAGTTACGGGGATATCGCTTGCGACTGCATTATCATGGCCGATAACCCACTCTGGGCATGGATTCGGCCCGACGCCGTGGAACCCAAAGGCTGGATGGCATTGAAAGAGCAGGTTCGAGATCTGATCAACTTTAGCGTGTGGCAGTACCGCGCCCGCGGCTGTAAGGTTGCCGCAGAGGAGACTCGAGACCTGGAAAAGGAAGTTGGTGTTGACGTGGGCGATCCCCCTCTACCACCCGAATACTACGACGACTTTCCCGAGAACTATCTCCGTAGAGGTTATCAGACCTTCATGTACGGCAGGAGCGCCTGTGTCAAAAACAAACCTTCCACTCGATTTAAGCTCGAGCTCGACGTATCCGAGGGGCTGGCGACTAGACAAGCCGAGTATATGGTGTACATCACGCACTGTTTCCACGTCAAGGCTCGCGCTGTTCGCACGACGCAGCCTGGCGCCATGCGGGCCTTTGAGGAAGCGCTGGCTGCGGGAATCTTGGACAACCCGGAAGAAGAGCGCCGCAACGACATTCTTCGCAAGTACTGGCAAGCCACCAAGGACTGGAGAAAAGCCAGCCTGGAATTACTGCCGTGGTGGTATCGCGAGAAGTGGGCCGGAAGGACGCTGAAGAAACTCAAGGAGTACTCACGGCGTGAGAGACAGAGACTTGATATGGAGGAGCAGGGCAAAAAGAAGAAAACCGAGGAGGAGGAGGAGAAATGGAGCAAAAAGAGGAAAGCCGAAGAGGAGGTGGAGGAGGAAGGCATACCAGAGACGACCAAACGATTCCGCGCAGCCTCTGGAAAAGCAATCACCATGCCGTCCAGCGATCCTTCAAAGCCAACGGGCATAGACGACCTCTCCATGAGCACCCCGATTCAGATGCCAATTCGCACCTTGAAGCCTACCTCGACGCGCTGGAGAGACCGCGTCTAGCACAGCACTCCGCGTGCACTTCACATTGTCAATGAGCAACGGAGGCTTTTTTTTTCACAGAGAGCATGCGAGTTTGCGGGATCTGAAGATCTACGGGTGCCTCTCGATTTCAATCCAGAGGGAACAAAGGTGTGTATTTGGGGTGGACGTTGTCTACTTTTGGCGGCGCAGGGGTGGCCCCGGCGTCCTTCGAACCGGCGTGTCGGCTTGTTATTATGGCAAAGTCCAAACTCCCCTGGCATGGTGCCTGGATGTTTGGCAGGAGTTTTGGCTGGTATGATGTCAAAGATCGGATTTGATTGGCCAATAATTTTGTGGGCTCAGTCAGTCGCACTGCCAAGAGATCTCAAAGGGAGAGGGGGGTCAAGAGAAGCACCGTCTTGGCGTGATTGGCATCCTGGCACATTCAGGGAACAAAAATGTGTCCACAACAACACAACCACGTAGGTAGTGAGTTGGTAGTGGTTGGCCACTTGGTGAGAAACGTGTCGGCTTGACATTATTTGCGTCATGTACAGATATTACAGTCAATGGTATCCCAAGTCTCTTGTTAGATCCAGAGTTCGATTGCTCTCTCGTTGATGCATTCTTTTCTCGGGGAACGATTTTGGATCGCCACCCTCACGCGTCTTATCGTATAACGTTCTTGTAAATTGATCACTGGACACGACGCGTTCAACAAGCTGGATCCTGCGCACTAACTAGGCAAGGGGCCATGTCACGTAACCTATGACATCCATGACGAGGCGTGATTCGGCGGAAAACACACCACCAAGGACACGGCCATATATCCATCCAGATGGTTGGCGTGCTGGCCACGAGTTCCCAAACGGCGTCTTGGTTGCCTACGGTCAGACTCGACATTCTGCTCCAACGTCATTACGCCCATCCTGGTGTCCCTGAAACGCAGTGGCACTATCAGCGGGACGCACCCAGGCCCACCGCTCGTTGCTGAGCCCGAACAATTGTCGCAGATCAGCCTCGAGACGCCTTCAACACCTTCTCCTGCCCACAACTCAAGGACCACGACACCGAAGGAGTCAATGTGGCGGCAGTTGACGTTCTGTCTTCCTCTCCATCACCACCATCCTCCCAGCCCGGGGGCTCACCCGTTTTGCACCAGCCATGAAGTTGCTGGATTGCTGTCCACAGACCAAAAGGGGCACTCCGATGATTTTGCAGAGACAGGAATGTACGCGTCGATAACGGAGACCGGAGACCTGGACGAAGATGGACCTACCAAGACAGGCTGCCTCGAGATGGACGGTTACGAGCACCACTAGCTCTCTGGTCTTGACGCCGAAGTTAGACAGTCCCAGCCAGCTCCTCCTTGACGCTGCTTACCCCTGTGCTTCCCATTCTTTAGCAACTCCCGTCATCTTGACGTGGTAGTGTCTCGCCATCCATGTCCTCCGCCGTAAAAACTACACCTCATGATCCACCCTACTGGATAACTAAGCAAGGCTCCACGTCACATGGCAGGCTGAGTTTCCAGCACATTTCAAAATTTCAGAAACGTTGTTTGTCGGGTCACAAAACTTTTTAGGTATTTCCTAATCCGGTAAGGCTCCTGCCAAAAACAGGAAACTCTGGGCAGCACTGCGCTCGCGGGCTGCGCCATCTACCAGCAAAGCACCTTGGGTCCCCTTAACCATCTCTTGACTGGGAGCAGAAACTGGTCTACTTTCCTGCCCAGCTTCTGACTTTGCGACTGCCCGGCGTGTCACCTTCGTATTCCATCGCGAAGTGTACCTATTCCCACTCGAGTGGCACTGGTCACGATCACATAATAGCGCGACGCGTGTTGACGCGTCGTTACGCGAGACGCGACGGAACCAGTCACTGCCTGCATCATGACCTTCTCCGTCGAAACTTCGCGACATTTTGGATAGTCCTTCGTACTATAATTAAATTGATTCAATTGCTCATTGGGGTTGTTCACATCGATTAGATCGGCGATCGTGAAATTGCTGCTCAGTCCCTGCAGTTATTCCATGTGGACAGGCCAATTGGTGGGTGGACCAAGCATGGCAGGCGAAAGGCCAACGATCATGACACGAGGGCAGGGTATTATGACCAAGTAATGAGGTTCCTGCATTACCATGTTCAAAATTCCTCCCAACTAGTAAGTGAGTATTCCACCACTTGGCCACGGAAAAGAAATGGCGGCATGTGCCGTTTGGTTTGATCGCTGGACACTGAGGGATGGAGAGATGGGAAGAGCAGTGGGGACTCCTGCAGATGAGTGTTTTTAAGGCCAACAACGATAGTCGGTGAGCAGCATCACTTATCCCTTAAATCTTCAGGGCCATGGCATTTGAGTGTCACTACTATGGTATGTTCTCGACAGAGATGAGAGTGTGATCGAAAGGTCATCGTCTTCGGACCGACGGACGGAGAGGATTGTGTTGAGGGTGGGTCCTCAACACCTTCGACTTTTGAAAGATAGCTTACACAGGCTTGATGGTGTCGTACTGAACAGGTTGCACTGAAATCGAGGCCTCGTCAGCTTTGCGTCTAGCGGATTGCGATGAGGACAGTCCGTGGGCTTTTTCAGCCGCGTAAGACTGCGCCGACGACGTGATTAGGTCGGTGTGGTACTAAACAGATTGCGCAGAAACCAAGTTCACGTCGGGTTCGGAACCAGGGAGAGGACACCAGGGCGCGTCCTCGGTATCTCTGGCTGTGGAATATGGCGCGACAGACGTGATCTTGTCAGCGCCTGCTCTGACAGATTAAGGGGATCATGCGGAGGGTGGGCTCTCAATGCCCTAGACCATACGCGATGGCGGAGTTGAGACCGGAGTGTTATCCTTTTCGGATAGACAACATTGTGACAAGAGCGGGTACTCGAAGCTGTCGGCTAGGCAAAGGAAATGTAGTAGAGGAGGCGTTGTTTTCCGCCTCAATTCGAGGGAATCGCAACGGGGACGGTACCTGATCGGATTTCGGTGCGAAAAAATCGTGTATTGAAGCGACGGCGGTGACGGATGGAAAAGGTCTGCTTCGAAGTCAGGTTCTCAACCTCTATGAAATGATTGTCCTCGAAAACAGAAGGTAGTGTAAAAGAGGATGAAGTTCTATTAATGCCAGCCAAGTTAGCTTTACCGAAGTTAGCTTGAGAAAATGAGCAGTGTCGGCCATGTAGGCGGGGGGGGAAGGAGGAGGCCTTGCACGACAGCGGGAGCGGGGATGATAGCTTGTCTTGCACGACACGAATGAGAGAGTAAATGGCCACTATGAAGAAGAACGTGAACAAGGGAATGAAACTACTCCTTCACCTCCGCCTTAGCCTGATAATGTTGACATTGGTTGACTCTGGTTTGAACACGTTGAGTTTTGAGCGGGTCTATCGGGCCGCAGTCTTGCCATTCTCGGTATTTTTGACTCTCTCGTCCCGTCAGTCCTAGCCTGCCGCAAAGCCTGAGGTCTATTCCATTTCCACAGGGAGATCTAGAGGTTGAGTGGCTCCTATGTTTTCATTTGTGGTCGTATTTGCCGCCATAGTCGCGTGTGTCTATGAGGGTGCGGGTGTTCAAGCCCGGCATAGACGGGACAGATATAATGATAGATCATTGTGAGTACAAAGTGATGCTTTGAGTTTCATGCCCGAAACTTGTTGTGAAACGGATATTCACGACACCCGTGCCATCGATCGAAAGATACCGAGAAAGAAACTGGGAAGTTGAGTCTGCACCTCTTCGCAGCTTGTCCCCTGCGTCTCCTCCTGCTCGGACCTCTGAAACTCCTGGGATAGCTGAAGTGTAGCAGAGTACATTGGTCCGATTGGATAGATGTATATGCCGCATTTGCTTGTGTGCCCCGCCTCGTTCTACTCGCCTTGCTTTCATGATCCCATCTATGTCGTCACCGACCTCCGGCCCTCCTGTTCAACTCAGCTGAACAAATTTCCGGCCCCATTGACAATGTTTCGGTTCATAATGACCCAGGCATTGACGGACGCAGACCCATCTCCACAGCTATACGTAAATTAAAGCACGGGGCCTTTGTGGTCTACTTTGTGCGCCAGACGGAGGTCTGGTGGCTCGTGCTTGTGCTAGACGACGAAGACGAAGAGGGCAACCGCGCTCGATGTTTCTAACCGCGCAGAAGAGAACAAGTGGGAATGTGACCCCACAAGATCGCTCGCCAGCCGGACTATGATTCAGAGAGATCCCCAGGGCGAGGAAAGGGGCCGGGTGCCCTCCGGGCGCTACCCTTTCATGTGTACGGATGGATATTTGATATTGGATAGAGAGGACGTGCAATGAAGACAGATGAGCACGAATACGCAAGACTAAAACTCCGACGGACGAGGCTCAGCGTTCCGACGGAAAAAATGAAACTAGCCAAATGAGGCTGGCGCCTCCGACGGAAGTATTATCTTATCAGATAATATTTATCAGATCCGACGGACAGATCAAGATTCCCGACGGACGATTAGATTATCTGATAAGATAAGATCTACCGTCGGAAGAAGTGGAGAATATCTACCAAGGCTGAACTATCCGACGGAAAGGCGGAACACGACCAGGCACGACAGACATCCGTACGAGACATCGTACCAGAAGTGGCAGCACGTAGGTGCCCCCATTACATTCCAGGAAGAGTTTGTCACACCAGAGACACAACAACAACCTGAACCGGAGAATATTGACTCGCTCTACGATCCACAATTCAGAGCGATGCACGAAACTCTGCCCCCAATGAAGACAGACAATAGGAGGAGAATTGGGAGCACGGGATGCTGATGCCTGGCTAAATAACATATTGACAAGGAAGATGGTCAATGGGTGCCGGCAATGGCGTACGCGGAAACATCATTATCCACCTCCTTCGCCAATGACCTAGCTAGATGCAGCTGGAGGCAAATTCTTCAGATGTTTCCAATGCACTAAACACAAACGTATCTACGACGACTAGCCGACGCATGGCGCCGAACTCTTGAGTGCAAAGTATATGACGATACGTATGTACTGCCTGGTCGACCACCATAAAAC